TAATTTAGCCTTTGTTTCTTCTTGATTTTGCAAATTTTAGTTATTTTGATGGAAGAATTGTAAAATCGTACCAGAGGTCCTAAAGGAAAAGTCAGTGGTAAGATATTTCATGTTGAAATCGTGATTCAACCGTTTCATACCGCTAAAACTTACCTACCAATTTATGCTTCGATATGAGGTTCTCACGATTGAACCACTGAAACCGTACGATTTTTCTAACTCTTGTTTTTATGAGAATAGCCAAAATCACATTCCCCACCCTAAAGTAGAGGATCTAATATGTTTACTCACCATATCTAGATGATCTGCTTTCGATCAAATGACAAAGACATACCAAAGATTCTATAAACTATAAATGAATGAAAACACCAAATGCGTAAGGATGGTGGCACTACACAAGGCAAAATCATTTGGATGGTTTACAAATGTTCCTCGGGCAGGTTAGGATCGAACATATTTATAGAGAGGTTAATGTCGTAGCAGGTTAGTCTTTCTTTTTCCCTTATGCTCTTTCGGAAGGAAAAAAAAAAAACTTCGATTTATTACGGTTATATCTCAAGGATTGTAAAACTGTATTGAAAGTTGTACTAGAAAAGTTAGCGCTAGAGTATTTTATGTTGAACCCGTGGTTTAAAGTTCAATCGTTGTTTCATATGGCTAAGAACCGCACCGTCTACAGATTTAGACTGCGCGATAGAAAGTTTTTCCGGTTAAACCGCTGATACGATACAATTATTACTATTATAACACTGGGAATCTCGCTTGACTAAGGCACGTGACGATGGAGAAATGATATGTGCAGCCGCCTGTTTACAGTCTCGTAGAGGAGAAGGTTAAAGATAAGAGTAGGGGTGGGCAACGGGACGGGACGGGATACCCGTCCCGTTTTAAACGGGTACCCAGTCCCATTTGGAGACCAAAGTCCATCCCATATCCCAAACCCATATGGGAAACGGGTACCCATTACCCGTACGGGACGGATAACGGGTACCCATACTACCCATAAATACCCAAAGTTTAAACAACTAAAATTTTAACAAAAGTTTAAACTTAACTTGTATTTGCTTAACAATCACAAGACACAAAATACATCCCAATCACAAATACTTGGTTTGCAAATTACACATTCATGAACAATCACAACACATAAAAATAAATCATTCCAAGTATCAAATTATAAAAAAAAAAAAAATCATCAAACATGTCAGTGAAAGAGTGAAAGGGTAAGGGCCCAAATGGAATTGAAATTGAAAGGGTAAGGGCCGAAATGGCCAATGGGTTTTGAATTGGGTTGGTCTGAATTAAATTTCTGCATTTGTATTGAATGGGTATAACGGGTACCCATATTACCCAAACGGGTATTCGCGGGTAACCCGCGGGTACCCATATTAGGAATGTTCAATCCCAAGTCCCATCCGTTTATAATATTATGGGTAATATGGGTACCCATAACCCTTAAAAAACGGGACGGGCACGGGTATACCCAAATACCCGTTTCCCGTTGCCCACCCCTAGATAAGAGGTTTGCTGATTAAGCTAAGTAAACTAAAAAGTTGTAACACCCTAGCTAGCTGTCACGAAAAAGAGAATGAAAAGTTAACCCACTTCACTAACCAACCAGGATGGAGGCAATTAAGTAGTTAATACTACTGTGCAGAAAGTTCTCGACACTTGGCGACAAATGTTGGGACTTGGACACACACACAGAGAACAAATCCCAGCAGACAGATCCTCTCCGCCAATCGCCCATCGCCGATAGGGATTTCCTTTTCAAGGAAAAGAAATGTCGCCACTAGGGTTTCACCGCAAAAAAAAATTATGCATACTTCTCTCTTCAACCCGGTTATGATGTTTCATAAGAGTGTCCGTCGGAACGTGCTCATAAGGCGCACAAGCGCGCGCTCTCGTGATTGTTGAATAGATGCAGTTGCATGTGACGAAATTGTCAGTACTGCATCTATCAAACGATCGATCGAGAGTGTCCAACACTCAGTTCGACGGTTGCACGTTCCCAGTGAAAACGCTCTCGCAATATTGGTCTGTGAGCACCAATAGCACAATCCCTTTTGGCTTCTTTCCCAGAAGAACAAAATAGAAAAAAAAACTCTAATTTTTTTAGTATCATGCATGTGTCAATTATACCAATAGTTTGATTATCGGGTAAATGACACATTTGGTCACTGAGATTACTAAATCGTGTCATATTTAGTCACTAGAAAAATTTAATATCAATTTTGGTCACTCGAATTACTGACACAGGTCACATTTGGTCACTCTTCTGTAGCCTCTGTCCAACTCCGGTCACTCGAATTATTGAAAAATGTCACATTTAGTCACTCGTATTACTGAAACATGTCACATTTAGTCACTCTCCCAAAAGTTTCCGTCCAACTACATTAATGGAGTTGGACGGAAACTGACGGGAGAGTGACTAAATTTGACCAGTTTCGGTAATTCGAGTGACCAAAATTGATATTAATTTTTTCTAGTGACTAAACATGACACAATTTAATAATCTCAGTGACCAAATGTGTCATTTACCCTTTGATTATCGCATTAAAAGAAGTTTGTATCGCTAACTAAGTAACGACAACGAATGATGCTAAGCACGATCAGATCGTATCAACTAGTTTTTTGCTATAAGTCGAGTTTTTGAGACGAAGGTGGAACCGTAATTTGAGATCCCATTTCTAAACATGGGAGAAAACCCAGGAAAACTGGGCTGAGAACCAATAATGTATTTAATCATAAAATTATTGGGTATATTGAGGTGGTACATAATTACTTGGTGCCATACTGCCAGCCAATCACGATCATGTTATTTCGATTAGGTTAAACCGACCCACAGGCTGTAAAATCAATGCAGCATGATCGGGTTTTTTGCCGACTTGGATCCACTAAAAACCAAACCAGGCCAGGTTGGTCCAGTGAGGAATTGCCGACTCGACAAACGTTAACTCATTACTGGTTTTTGGTAGGGGTGTTAGTCGGTGCGGTTTCGGTTTAACCGCACCGAAATATCGGTTAACCGCAACCAAAAATGTCTCAAGATCACTAACCGAAACCGAAACCGACAGAGACTTCGGTTAACCGAAAACCGCAAACATCGGTTTCGGTTTTCCCTTGCGGTTAACCGAAACCGCAGGTTCTGGTTCACTTTCTCGGTTTTTGTTCAAAAACCAACCACTCAAAACCGAATTTCAACCACCTTTTTTAATGATTCACCCTCAATTTTGAGTGACCTGCTTTTGTTTCAGCCTCTGTAATCACACACCATAAAGTCATCTAAATCAATTGAACATAAAGCCTAAAGCAACCACACAATTCAACCACAACTCCACAACATAAAGTCTACATGCCCACAATTCAACCACAAGCCACAATCACAACAAGACACAAATAACAAGTTCATTATCTCCAAATCATCAACCTAAATGATCCGAGGATCTCACTCCAATTCATCTAGCCCATAGTCATCATTTACTCCAAGATCTTCATCTAGCCCATAGTCATCAGCCTAAGGTTCACTCTATTGAGTGCAAAGGGGATTTAGAGAGGGGTGACTTTCGAGTTCTAACTCTTAAAAACATTTGAGACTCTTGATGGAAGGTTGTTTGCAATAGGTGAGAATTGGGATGTTTGGAATTGCAACTTTGATTGGTTTTGAATCTTACAACTTTTTCCCTTAGCCAAAGTAAAAAACCATGTAGTCACACTAGTAGGCGGTTATCGGTTTTCTTATCGGTTAACCGCTAACCGATTAATCGGTTAGCGGTTAACCACTAACCAAAATACTACTAACCGAAACCGAAATCAATAAGGAAGTAGCGGTTATCGGTTAACCACTAACCGACTTTATCGGTTCGGTTATCGGTTAAAACCGATAACCGACTAACCGTTTATCACCCCTAGTTTTTGGTACCTAGCTCGCTAGTGGCGCCAGTGGCACATCCCAAAAACAAGAGGGAACAAAATAAATTTGTAGTAGGTCGTGAAATTAGGTCAAACCCAAAAAAATTAATTAATATTAATGATGTGTGACAACTATATACATCTCATGGTTTTCATTAATCAAACACACAGTGTCACTAGAAGAAAAAAAAGCTACTTTAAATAATTAATTATATTACGTATATATTTTAATGCTACATTAGTTGTGCCTTTAGCTCGACGTAGAAACGCATAACTATATATGTTTATATATATATATATATGTTTATATATATATATATATATATATATATATATATATATATATAATTCACATGAATACAAAATGCCTAAAAGAGCACATGCATATCAATTATTGGTTCACAAAGGAGTTCATGCAATTTACTTAATTTTTCATTTTCCTTTCATGTGCACGAGGGGAAATTTTGTGGCCGCACATATATGATATTAAATATAGTTTATTTTAAATGTAAAATTTAACATAAATTATTTTTTTTATTATTTTCGTAATGAGGTACATGTCATGTACCATACACACTGTTTTTCTCCATTGTGTTCTATTTACTACTGATTAAGGAATATAATACAAATAATATTGATGACAACTGGACCTTAAAAAATAGTTAAGCTTATGAATTTTTTTTTAATCTTAATTTGTATACGTTGGCCGCCGAGATTGTTGAAGTAACTTTGCCTGCCAAATCAGATTCAGATGACAGGAGCTTGTTTTTAACAGTAACATCCACTTACTGGATATTTGGCCTGTCGACAGGTTGGTTAGCAGATTATTCGTGCTTAATAGAGAGATTAGGCAGCCTCTAATCTATTGGCAGAGTGGACAGTAGACACTAGACAGAAGTCCACTGGGCCGGGTGTCCAAAACATAATCCTTCCCTTGCTACTGGGCTTGGAGCCGCGGCTCCATTCGGACGAGTCCGCGTCGTCTCATTCTCCCGAGGCCCGTTTGCTGATCCGGCGTCGTATATCTGCTTCAATAAAAACTATAAAGTATAAACTAAAGTAATGCTCTGCTAATCCTACTGTTTGGTTCCCTCGAAATGCGAGCTGAACCTCCGCTCCGTATTTTCCCTCTGCCGCCACTAAAAACTCTTTTCGTATTTTCCAAGCGCGAAGAAGAATCGCTGCTTCGCTCCCCGGCGCAATGAGGAACGTAGAGAGAGCCTCCGGGACTCTGGTGGCGGAAGCTCTGTTTCGTGCGGCGGCGGACGGAGTGGAGCCAGTAAGCCGTTCGAGAAAAAGATCTAACGTGGAAAATCGCGGCTGATTTTGAATTCGAATTCGCCGGAGCAGCCGATTCTAGTACAGGTGAGAAAACGCACATTGCTGCTGCAATGCGTGGCTCCGTTCTGTGTTTCTTGCCCTAATCTTTTCGGCATTGCCATAATTGTAGATCATCTGCTTCGTTTCCCTTGATTGCGCGTACTTGTGCGGTGTGTGTGTGGTTGCGTGAAGGAATGTAGATCCATTGTCTCAGAAGCGGCCTGATGAAGGTTTGCGAAATGAACATCTAATTGAATCATGGAAGGGGAGACGAGATTTGGGGGGTTAATGGCGGTATACATGAATTCTGATTTTGCATTATCGATCTTATGAGCTAATTCGCTTCGTTGTTTGTTTCCATAATTTCTTATTTTTGCTGTTTCTGCAGCCGATTGAGTTCGACTATGGGAGCTTCTGAATGGCATTTGACAAGTGCAAGTGCTCAGGTTGGTAAGGGGCGTTATCTTTGTCAGCTATGATCTCTGTAGCTTTGTTACGTTCCTTTACCGAAATTGTCAGTCCTTTGGTTTAGTTTCTGAATCCTGCATTAAGAAATTAAACATGTCTGAGTCATATGCAGAAACATCCGAGCCCTTCTGATGTTGTTAGGTTTTCTCGACATATGAAATTGAATCACTGAAGAACCAATAACATTTGAATTGACTGTACAGCTATTACATTGATTGATGTAGTCGTTAGGTTACTAAGTTCAGCTACATTTCATTATCATTTCTGTGTGTTTTTGTTATCAGTACAGTCCAACTTCTCCATGGAAGAATTGTGTATGATGATTGCGATTCCAAATCCTTGCCATATGAATCATCATTTTCTGTCGTAGCTATCTCATACGAGAAACGTAAGTGCCTTGCAATTTCGATACCGTGCTGTATAAGTTCACATCAGATCTTTCTGAACAGGCAAAGATAAAAGAAAACCATAGCTGATAAACCATAGGACTAATCTTCTGTCCTAAGTTATCTCCAGGTTCTAGAACAGAGAAATTCGGATCATCCATTGCATCCTGCATTATGGTGCTCTAAGAAATTTGATTTGTGCGTAAGTCAGTTTCGTCTAAGATCTTGACAGTGCACAATTGATCCTCCTTTAGTTACATGTCTTCGATTCAAGTGTTTGTGCTTATTGAGATGTATAGATACCATGAGATTGCTTATTGTTTAGTAATGTCTTTGGTCTAGGATACCATTATCACACTGATGGATTCGTATATTGATTGACATTCTATGGGATGACACTGTTATCTTTTAGGCTTGCGCAGCTTGTGAGGTGCTAGATTTTGTTGGTTGGTAGGAAGAAACCATCTAGTCTTAGAACTGGCCATCTAACGTATTGAGTGGTTTTGTGGATTATGGGCCTAGGTCCAACTTTGGATGAAGAAGCTTCGATCTTGCTGCCTTTTTTCTTGTATCCTAATTTCTTTAATCCACCACAGGGAAAATTCTCCATGTTCCCTCAACAGCCAAGATTGGTGCAGTGCACAAGTTGCGGCAGCCTGCCACCAGCTTTCACCCCAAGTCAAACTAGGAAGATTAAGGGGTCTGAAGGGAATGGAACCCCTGTTAAGAAAAGCAGGTTGAGGAAAGGTAAAGACACAGCTGCAATCTATGTAGAGAAATCGAGAACTTCCTTCTTGAATCTTTTTGGATGGTTTTGCTTTCATGGTACACTCAGACTTACGTAGTTTTATGCATATGTATGCTTTCAGCAGGAAAGGCAAAGCTTGATATATCCTAATAAAGAAGATGTGGATCGCACATGGGATTTTACCTGCGTTGCGCTCGTGGCGTAGAAAGTGATCAGTTTGAAGCCTACTTGAATATCCGGTAACTATTTTGCTTTCTGAACATTACAATGGTTAAGATGATTACAGTCCCAGTCACCTGTCTCTTCTTAGTGGAAGTTAAAACTAGAAAGCTGCATACATGTGATGAGATTATAATGATTATGATGAAGTTAAACCTCATCCTTTGAGTTAGGACTACGAGATTATCTTGACAAATTGCATATTTAGAATTGTTTATCCTTAATACTATTTTCGGATCGAAAGTCGAGACTCGGGAGTATGCTAGTAAAAACGATTTCATATCTGAACGGTAAATAAGCCGCATAGTTCGTAAGTTTCCACACGTAATGCTTTAATTATCTTATCTACATAATCCCATTCATGTAGGTCGTACAATGTCAACGACGAACTGGGACAAATGATGAATGCAGAGTTAGGTCGTTGTTCTGATTCTTAGGTTTTAGGTAATGCTTTCTGATTCTTCTGATTTTTGCATTGTACAAGTCATCTGAAGGGTTGTTGGGTTCCACATCACGTTTTCACCATACTTTAACTGTACATCTTACATGTGTACCAACCCACTGATTTCCCAAAATGGATATGCCATTATATTTTTATCTTTAGTGTTCTACATTAGGTCTCTCACGTCAAAAGGGAGCTTCAACTTTTTTAGTTCCTACTTGTTATGCTACCAGTCTGGCTTTCTTGTTTCTTGTTTCATAAGTTTTTTGTACTAGTGAAATGGCTTTTATTACTTGGCTTTCCTTTGGTTCTTCAGAATACAAAACGACGTCTTACCTCTCAAGTTTTTGTTGCTCTTACTTTCCTTTCCCATTGTCAAGTTACGAATCTGCCATTGCAGAAACTGCGGCACGTAAAGTAACACTTAAAAAATTTTGCAGTACGTGCATGCATAATTCCGGAGCTGCTTAAAATGCTTCAGGAAATTGGTGAACTTTATCATACTGTGCAGATGATTGGCGTTTTTTCTATCTTCTCCAATTTAGATGGGACTTTCATCGGAATAGGCATCTATGGCGACTAGGAGGAAATGGGAAACACACGCGACATTCATGTAAGGACAAAAAAAAGCCTTGTCGTTTGGGTGGTTGAAATTCTTGCGATTGTGCCAATATTACGTGCATCAAGTCCATACCTCTCGATTTCGAGTGAGTGACCAGCCTACAGGGATCTTGATTTAGCTGCAATTTCTTGTTTCACGTCTCTTTCTGAAAAATTAATTGCTAAACCATCTGCATGTCGGCCGTAGAGCTGGGACACAGCTCGGGTCGGGTTACAGTGGTGATGGGTCATGATGAACCAGTTCATTACGAGTTGTGGATCCAGAAGAGGTTGTGCTATTACTGTTTGCCGTATAGATTTCAACCATGGGTCATTTCGAAGTTTGTTTGAGGTAGTAATTGATTACACATTTAAAAGGGTGATGAGTCATACTCAATACGTGCTCTTTGTGATGAAAACTATCATCTTCCCTCTCTTTTTTGTTTTTGTTTCTAGTGGTAAATAGTTGGAGTTTTCATCGCTGTCCTTCCAAAGCAATCATTCTTTAGCAATATTGTTTTGACAAATTAACTCCTTTCAAAAGTTTTCACGTCGACAACCAATTGAAAACATGGTGCAGGCAAGATAGTCGCTTTGTACAATAGTGTAAAAGAAAATATCCCCTTCTTACTCCAGTAATACGACACATACTCAGCTTAAGCGAGTCCATTTTCGGATGAATCAGCGCATTACTGGAGTGGGTTTTAACTGTTAAGCTCAGCCAGTAACATTTGAATTCTTTGCATTCTTCTCAATATTTTCTTTTTTGGAGGATCGAAACATATTCCCTGAAGATTTTCCCCGATAAGGAAATCTCTTGTCGATCTTCCTTCATTTGTTTTCACCCAGTAACATTTGACTTTGCTAACCTAAAGGTTTATCCCTTTTTCTTGTTTGTTGATTTAACACAGAGAGCTGGAGAATGTTCCCTGCAGTCCAGCGTTTTGCAACCACCGCGAGGTCACCAGCTCACTGGTAAGAACATAATCGTTGATTGGTGTTTCCTAGTAGTATCTCTTCTCGTGTTAAGGCGTGAAAGAAAAATCATTAGTTCATTATATACGGTTGTTGTCCCTACACCTACTTGCACTGCAAGTATACATGAATGATAATGTCTGCCTGGTACCCTGAACCAAAATAATAATAATAATTATTATTATTCCTTTTCCTCCGCTTTTTTAAATTATGAAAAGGAATTTTATTAATTTATACTGGTTCTCATTGTCTATTTTGCACCGTTTTCGTTACTCCTGATATTTAGCTCGTCATTAAACTATTCCAGACTGTGTTTGAGGTTGACGGCACTGGGGTTATAATAAATGGGAGGGGACTTAAAACTACTACTTAGCTAATTTTGGATTTTATGCACATTTCTTCCCATTGCTTGTCTCACTGAAATTGCCTCTGCTGGGTCGAACTGATTGGGGATTGGTCGTTTCCTTTCTTTCTTTTGAAGTTTCAGCGTTGATTTCTATTAATTGATTCACGGCTCAGTTTCAAACTGTTGGATCTATTAAAGTCCCGCACTGTTTTTAAAATGGTCAGCTACCTACGGCAAGCTGTTTTTCCCTTTTATTGCTAATTGGTGCTGTTGGGACTCAAACCTAATAATAGTGGCGCATTATTCTTGCGCTGCCATTCATTCACTGAATAGGTAACATTTCCTTCCCCTTTACCTTCATATTTTCTGGTCCGGGAACCACGCCGGTGGTCTGATCTTCTTCTAGGTGAAAAGAACATCAATAGAGAAACTTCTAATGACAGGTTTGAGTTGCGAAAAAGAGTGTTCGTCAGAGTGAATAATAACGTACATAAAGTTGGGACGGTTCAGGTAGATACAACATTATTATAGTGGTTTATTGATTGTCAGGGATGGGGTTACATGTGCAAGCTTTATGTCGCTACATCACGATGTTTTTGTTAGCTAGCTAGTGCTGCAACCTAATTTGTGCTACGAAAAAAATTGGTGGGGATGTACCTTTTGCCCACCAAACCAGCTGCTTTGTCATTATGCATATGAAGCTTTCATTTTCAGGGCATAAGCAGAAGTGATTATCAACATAATATGAAAAAAATTGGGGGCATTTGACGTAATTGATTTGTACTCGCTGTCCCTTCTGGGTTTCAGAAACTTAAAAAAAAGTCTATTTATACCGCTCCCCAATCCAGAGGAAAAACGTGTCTCAGTTGTGTGCTCATTTCTTTCTCCTCTCCTTTCTTTGTCCATACAGATACAGAGATCTTTCTGCCGCAGAGTTTTCTGGACACACAGGAAACATCTGCTTTAGAATCGAGGAACCAAAACTAACGTTACCCATCCTTCAAAACACCTCTGCCAGTTGGGTGCCATTTGTGGTTCAAGTTCTGAGAACAGTTCTGCAAGGTATGCCTCTTACTTGATCTGAAAGAAACCAAGAAGTATGAGTTGCAGCTGAAAAAATGGCGTGCCATATTGACTGCATATGACCTTTTGGGCTGGTTTTTTTGGGTACTATCTGATCGACATTTGAACCCAATTGATGGATCAGTTCACGAAATATCACTACTACCTTTTCCCTTTCTCCTTCTCCTTCCCCTGGCAGAATATTCCATCCTCTCCACTCTTTCTCTTTCACGTGTCACGCGTTTTAAGTGGGTTTTCGGTGATATGAATGCTCATATAGCTGTAGTTAAAAGGACTCTGTAACTGCTGCTTCTGCTTCAATAACGCTTGTATCAAGCTTCTGCATTCTCACCAATTATCTGCGGTGAATGATCTTTTTCAGGTGCCATTGATCACCATGACCGACTTGGAAAAGCAGCAGAATTTGCCAGGAGATGTTCCTACACTCCTCAAATACATCTCAACTAGTGATGTAGCTGGTTTCGACAATCTCGAATCCATTGCGGCAGCTATGGTACTGCTTTATTCACTTTCACATTCGTGTTTCCTTGAAACTGGTTCTCTTTTTCCCCCCATTTTACTTATGTATGTATTGGCCATCTCTGCACAGGGCGAGGTTGAGCAACCGCAAACTTCGAACCACCAAACGAAGTATTCCATTTCCATCAGCATGCCGAGCTCTCCGGCAGGAGACAGCTCGAAGAACGCGAAGCACGTCCTTTTCGACGACACCCCTGACATAGTTTTAGGTCCTGGAGACCCTGAACCAGCAGCAGCCGATGCCAATACGTCATCTTCTACTACAAAATTGAAGTCCCATTCTCAGCCGATGCCGCACGGAGCTGCGGTGGAGCAGGGTATCGAGATGAACAACTTCACCCACCATCCTAATCCCGCCATTAGGAAGCTGAAGGACAACCGATACGACTCTTTCAAGACGTGGTCGGGAAAGCTCGAGAGGCAGATCTCCCATCTGCGAGGGAAGCCGAGGGAGGAATCTTTGCCTGAAGATTCCGTTGTACATGTGTTACAGAAGATCGATAGCAACAATGACGCCTTGCCTGTAGATCGGTACTTCGATGCGCTCGAAGGCCCTGAATTGGACACCCTCAGGGTACGTTTCCTTGGCTCTCCTTACAGTTTCCTCTGCTTCAAAGTTTCACCACACTAAATGCTTAATGGTTTACCTCAATTGGATCAACAATTACACAATTTGTACAAGGTAGAACGTATTTGGACTAAGACTGTAAAAAATGCTGATAAAAAAAAACAGAACAAACAAGGAAAATTCAAAGAGACAGAGTGCGTAGTAATGTAACAACGCTGATCATCTCTGTTTCTTTGTTACACCAGCCTTCAGAAGAAATAGTCCTGCCGGACGACAAAACATGGCCGTTCCTCCTCCGCTACCCGGTCTCATCCTTCGGTATCTGCCTCGGAGTCAGCAGCCAAGCAATCATGTGGAAGGCTCTCGCCACTTCCCCGTCCACCAAGTTCCTCCACATCACTCACCACATCAACCTCGTGCTCTGGTCCATCTCGGTCGCCCTGGTCGTCGTCGTGGCGGCCATCTACCTCCTCAAACTGGTCCTCTACTTCGAAGCCGTCCGGCGAGAGTACTACCACCCGATCCGCGTCAACTTCTTCTTCGCCCCGTGGATCGCCCTCCTCTTCCTCGCCATCGGCCTCCCCAACTCCGTCGCCACCACGCTCCCCCACGCGCTCTGGTACGTCCTCATGGCCCCGTTCCTCTTCCTCGAGCTGAAGATCTACGGCCAGTGGATGTCCGGCGGGCAGAGGAGGCTGTCCAAAGTGGCGAACCCTTCGAACCATCTGTCGATCGTCGGGAACTTCGTCGGAGCGTTGTTGGGGGCGTCGATGGGGTTGAAGGAAGGTCCCATTTTCTTCTTTGCTGTTGGGATGGCGCACTACACGGTGCTGTTCGTGACTCTGTATCAGAGGCTTCCTACAAACGAGACGTTACCAAAAGAGCTCCATCCGGTGTTCTTCCTGTTTGTCGCGGCGCCTAGCGTGGCTTCCATGGCTTGGGCGAAGATTCAAGGGTCGTTCGACAATGGCTCCAGGATTGCATACTTCATTGCTCTGTTCCTCTACTTCTCTCTGGTAAGTTATAAGCCTCTATTTCCCTCCTGATCTCTCATTGAAAATCTGAATTCAACGTAGCTTGATAGCGCTCTAAATTTAGCAAATTTTGTATATCCTTGCCTATAAATGATTTCTAATTCACTGTTTGATTTCCCAACGCAGGCAGTACGAGTCAACTTCTTCAGAGGATTCAAGTTCTCGTTGGCATGGTGGGCGTACACATTCCCCATGACGGGTGCAGCCATAGCGACGATCCGGTACTCGAACGAGGTCACCAACGTAGTCACACAAGCACTCGCAGTCGCGCTATGCGCCATTTCTACGCTCATCGTGACCGGCCTGCTGGTGTCCACGATCCTGCACGCGTTCGTTCTCCGCGACCTCTTCCCCAACGACATTGTCATCGCCATCAGCGACAGGAAGCCCAAGCACAGCAGCCGCGGCCATCATCACTTGAAGTGGTTGCATCGGAGGACCGGGAGCACGGAGACCAGGGACGTCGAGCATTACCTGAAGTTCGCCAACTCCGATTGCAAGGACGTCGAGGCTGGTTTCGACCATCAAGGATCGGATGGTAGTACCAACAATGTCAAGCAGCAGCTGCAAGATCATTGAGGCGGGTTTTTTTCGGGGTTGGAAGTTTTATGGGATCAGGCTAGTAGCCACGCGAGGGACGATGATGACGCGACGGCCTTTTGGTGAAATTTGGGAGAGTTCCGGTGACTGTGTGCTCTGTCTGACGAGTGATCTGTGTGGCAGTGTAAAAAATATGCAGTATATGGCTTCTATGTAGTAATAGAATGGAAATTTTCTGTAAAGTGTTCCAGTTTCTGCAAGGAGAATTTACTGGATGGGCTGTGGATTGGGCTCAACTAGGTTACGGGCTTGAGCCCGGAAGCTACGCCTTAGACAAACTACCAAGGACCAACCTCTATTTGAATGCGTCTTCGTTACTAGGAAAAAGCTTCTCAGATGAAGAAAAGTTCCTGAAGCTGAATTTTGCATAAATTCCAGGCCTTTGCAGGTATGTATGCTCTGCCTGAAACTTCATTGTCTATCGAGTCCCCCAAATGTATCAGGAACCAAGCAATGTGATTTTGATTTTCGAACAACACAGCTATTTCATTGTTTCTAAGGCGATGCATGTTGTGAATTGTAATTCTTGGGGTTTCAGATTTTGAAACCTTTGCTAGCATGATGGTTGCAGCAAGTAAATGAACTTTGTCAGTTTATTACTTACTGAAATGTGAATTTGGGTTCTTGGCAGTTTCAGTCCTGGATTCGGTTCCAATCCAAGGTCGCCAAGTTCACATCCAGCTCCTAAACCTCGAGTGAATCTTGAATCCAGCCCTGGCCCCAATCCAATTCAAGCTCCAAAGCTAGCTCCAGGATTGCAGCAACGAAGTCAAAACAAACAACATGAATCTCTACAACATGGTGGCCTTCATCAGAACTAGAATCAATACCCGCGGCTATGCCGCAGGGAGTATTTGGTTATAGGGTAGAACATTTGGTTATGGTCATGCAACTTAACCGAAGACTGATTCGAATTTTACGATTAATAGTTAATCGAGAACAATAAAATGAAGGAATAGAATAGTTGCAGATTTGGTTTTAGATAATCTTTGGTGTAACTGCACACCAAACTGCAAAACAAAATTCCCATATAATCGCAAAATTAAACTACCCCAAAGCCAAATGGCCTACCCCATTAGGTAACCTAAACCAAAAAGAATGACAAATAGGTTAATTGGTTGAACGCAGTTAACCGCAACATAACCAAAAATCATAATATTCGGTTCTCTAGTAATCGCAACAACAACAATTACAATTGCTAAAATGACAGCAATTCGGTTTTGGATAACCAACCAATTTGGTTTGATTAACATAAAATGAACCGAGGTTCAGCCCTATTTGGTTAATGTATAGACATGTCTAGTATCAATCCAATTCAATTGGCGCATCACCTTTTTTTTTTTTTGACAACAGACATCATTCATTTCATTCCAAACCCAAACAAAGGGGAGCACAACGATTACAATAATGGAGCGACAAGGTCGGCAATGACAATTCATTCAGGAGGAAGGAGATCAAGTCGAGCGTTCCTAGCGATCCAATCAGCCAGCTTATTGAAGCGACGAGGAACAAACTCGATGGAAATCCAAGGGGAGGCACAGAGAATGGAAACCACCCGAGCAAGGGAAGCCCGGCATTGCCAGGGCCAGAGGCTCGGATCCTGTCTCAGCGCATTCGTCAAACGCTGACAATCAGAACGGACACACGTAGGGACAGGATCTTGTGCCGCCCAGATAACTGCATTAAGAATCGCAAACGCTTCAGCTTGTAACGGAGAAGAACAAAAGAATCTCTCAGCCTTCCCGTCGATAACCTGACCGTGGGAGTTTGCAATAGCAATCCCATATGCCGCCATCAGTGCATCAGAAACAAAGGAACCATCACAATGCACAACCTTACTGAAAGGACCAGGCGGTGAAAAGGTCGTCGACCGAGAACTCCCAGGCTGAGCAGGCAAACCAGCTGAACTTGAGGAGGGATGAGCTACGGATCCAATCCTAGCTTCTTGAATATTCAAACCATCACGTTCGGCTAAAATTGCCACAGAGGGCGGAGAGAACGCCCGAGCCTCGAACACCCACCCATTTCGGACAATCCAAATATTCCAGAGGGAACACACAATTTTGGTAATTTGGGCAACAGAGACCCTGTCTTTAAGCCCAAAGAACCAATCCACAAAGCAAGATTCCTCCGAAGGGCTCACATTAACCAGACCAAGCCGAGACCAAGTCTCACACGCCTTAGAGCAGTGGAAGAAGCAGTGCATAAGCGTTTCCTCCTGGCCTTCACAGATAGGACACAGAGGATTGGGAGCACACTTGCGAGCAAACAGCCTCCCTCGAGTTGCAATTGCATTTTTACAACACTTCCAGATGAAGAACCGGAGCTTGGGAGGAAGCTTGAGATCCCATAACCATTTCCAATCATCTCTATTAGGCCGAGGAGAGGCAGTCACATCATTTGTCGGAATGGAATCTCGATTTTCACGGAACAACCGGTAGGCAGACTTAACACTGTACCCACCTGACTCAGAGGGACACCAGACCCCCAACTGGCGCATCACCTGAAACACATGGATTTATGTGTCATATAATTCGATTTGGGTAGTGCATCACTTGACCTAAGGCATATGAGTTGCATGGTTGAGAGGGTTCAAAACTAACTCAACCCGATTCATGTAGACCCCTAATCATAGTTCATTTTATTGGTCTCCTTTCCTTAAAACTAACGAAAGGAAAGAAAAACAATGAAGTACACAATAGATGTCAAACAACATAAAACAAATTAAAAATTGATAAAAAGCTTATTCTACATTTACATGACATAAGTGTAAGAAACAATCATCATGCTTTATTAGAACCTTGGTAGGTCCAAACAAACTGGGAACAAAATAATTATATTTTCTTGTTATCTAGTTGGTCTTTCTCGCTAAATGGGGAGTGAAGCAGATGTTAATAGGGATGGCAACAAAACCCGAACCCACGGGTACTCACCCGACCCAACCCGGTCAACGCGGGTAAAATCCGTGTTGACGGGTTTTGGGCCGGGTTTGGGTTTAAACCCGTTCACTATTCACCGGGTTGGGTTGGGTTTGGGTTTAGGTAAACCCGACCCGTGGGTACCCGCCCACCCATATAATTAATTTTTTCGGTATATTTAATATTCTAAACAACTAATCTTATTTATGTTTGTGGAGACATGTCTAATTTTTTCTTTTTAATTGTGTAGAATGAAGTTGATGTTATGGAGTGGAGAGTAAAGAAACTTAATTGAAAGGAAGAAGCTTTCAATTAAACATGTTATTTATGGATAATTTGTGATTTGCTTCAATTTTCTTGAGTTTTCTAGATTGGTTTTGAACAATTTGTATAGTTAATTTGTGATTTGCTTGAATTTTCTAGAATGGTGTTTTATATATGGATAATTTGTATTGAGAGATTGATATTTGACTTTAATTTTGATAAAAACTTGTAATTGTAAATTTTTTACGACAAAACCCGTGGGTACCCATGAACCCGCGGATACCCAACGGGTTGGGTTGGGTTTGAGTTTTTCAAACCCAGTGGGTTTTACCCCGGGTTTTTTCAAAGATAAACCCATGGGTTTGGGTTTGGGTTTGGCAAAACCCGACCCAACCCGACCCATTGCCATCCCTAGCTGTTAATATCTCATATGTCTTTCGACATCTATTATATTATTAACCATTTTTGTAGTCCGTGATGATTTCCAACAATACTTAGTTACCATTCATTGGTAAAATGGGTGAATGAACATATATTGAGTGAACAATGCATAAATAGGAAAGTTACGCCTAACCATCAGGACTCATATAATAAAAACTCTTGGAGAAAACAGGTAAAATTTTTTAAAAAAATCATTGAATAATAACATTCAACTTGTTGCGAGTGAGGAAGAGAGTTAGAAGGTTATCGATCGAGCACAACTTTGACTTGGATCATGAAACATACAATGAATTAACTACTACATAGAGCGATTGCATATCCATATGATAAACGAATTCAACACTAAAAGTGAACGCATACATATGATTATTATTCATAAGCCTAACATGTACAACACCTCACCTCTAATTCACTAACAAAAAAAAATAATTTTTTCTCATTGTCCATACAACTTAAGACACCACTAATCGTTGTCTCTTGCAAGTCCAATTTATTAAGATAAAATAAAGAACATTCATAATATAATTTGTTAGATCCAAGTTCTATCAACCAGTTAACTCGTTGGATACACAAATCCGATCAAGTAAAGATGGAAGCAAAATGATAGAATTGTAGCAATCACTTATATATGTAGCAAAACTTAACAATTGAACATAGGAACAAATTGACCAAATCCAAAGCAATATAAAGCACTAAGTTTCATGACCAACAACCACTAATAAGACCACGTTGTAAATCGGAAAAAGAAAGTAAGATGTGCATAGTGAGCAACATATATTAGCATATGAATTTTCCTCATTATTAAATTCATTCAGGTTTCATTTTCTTGAAACAAATTGAACTGTTTAAGCCTCTTAATAGTTCATTTTTAAGGATATTACTTGTTCAAATTTTTTGGTTTTTATATTCGATTCGATTTAGTTTCACAAATCAATTTCCCATCCTAGTCATACATACAACAACTTTGATCAAATAATAAAGACTTTTTCTTTTAATATATTTGAGTGTATGTGAGGGATGGGGTAAGATGACAAACCCTTTCATCCTCACTAAAGTTCAGTTAATTCTTTGCTACATTTTTATCAAACCTAAAGAACTTGAATATATCATCTGTCTGTGGTATCCTATTCGCGATTACTGATTTTCAATGGCTTAAACCAACCACACAAAGAGTTTTCCTGAGAGTAGTTGACACCTGACCTAATTTGCAATAAAAAGAAAATGAATTCATCATCAATGTTTACTTCCCTCATAGCAACAATGAAAAATCAATTAATTAAGATTCTGGATAATCTGAAGACCAAAATGAAAGATGGCAAAGTGTGCCATACATAGGACTATCGGTTTGGATTCAATTTCTTGAATTTCAACTAAACGAACAGATAAGGTGATCTTATCGTTTTTTGGTTTCGGTCCCAAACCTTTTGTGCTTAGCGTTTTTTGTTTGGTCAAAACTGAAAAAGCTAAAAACAATAAAAATAAAATCACAACCAATACACAAACACTCAATATTCAATTAAGCCTTGGGTTTCATTTTCTTGAAATCAAATTGAACCGCTTAAGCCTCGGGTTTCATTTTCTTGAAATCAAATTGAACCGTTTAAACCTCTTAACGATTCATTTTCAAGAAAATTATTTTACTCGGTTCGGTTTGATTCGGCTAAACAAAGCAATCTTCCCCTTTGTTATACATACAATATCTTTGACCAAATGATAAAGATTTTTTTTAATATATTTGAGTGTGTGAGGGATGGGGTAAGATGGCAAGTTTTTTCATCTTCACTAAAAGACAAAAATTGAAATAGTAACTTTAGGAAAAAAGTGTAGCTAGCTTTTATATATACTAGAATCAATACCCGCGGCTACGCCGCAGGGAGTATTTGGTTATAGGACAGAAAATTTGGTTATGGTCATGCAAGCTAACCGAAGTCTGATTCGAATTTTACGATTAATAGTTAATCGAGAACAATAAAATGAAGGAATAGAATAGTTGCAGATTTGGTTTTAGATAACCTTTGGTGTTTGGTGTAACTGCACACCAAACTGCAAAACAAAATCCCCAAATAATCACAAAATTAAACTACCCCAAAGCCAAATGGCCTACCCCATTAGGTAACCTAAACCAAAAAGAATGACAAATAGGTTAATTGGTTGAACGCAGTTAACTGCAACATAACAAAAATCATAATATTCGGTTCTCAAGTAACCGCAACAACAGCAATTACAATTTCTAAAATGACAGGAATTCGATTTTGGATAACCAACCAATTCGGTTTGATTAACATAAAATGAACCGA